TGTTGAGTTCTCGGAGGATGGCCTCGTTGGCAGCTTCGGCCTGGTCATTGGTCTGGGGGTGTTCCATCGAGGTCGAAAGGTGCTTAATTTCGAGATCACGGAGGAAGTCCTCGAGTTCCTGTGTGATGAACTGTCGACCGTTGTCGGTAACGAGGGCATGAGGGATTCCGAACCTGTAGATGATATTCTTCCAGGTGAACTTTCGCACGTTCGCAGTGGTTATTTTGGCGAGTGGACATGCCTCAATCCACTTGGTGAGGTAGTCGATTGCTACCAGGAGGAACTTTAGTTGGTCTTTCGCAGGGGGGGAACGGTCCGAGGATATCCATTCCTTATTGGGAGAAAGGCCACACCGGCATCATGTGGTGGTCTGAGCCGAATTTTTGTGCTGGCGCTTGTCCAATTTTTTTTACATTGTGTCCATGTGCCATCATTCCCTTTAACAATAAGAGTGTTATAGAAGAAAGCATGTTTAACACATTTTTATATATTGTAAAGGAGTGTTAACACATTTTTATTATCAATTAAAATTTATTGTAAATTATAAAATTTTGTGAGACACATTAAATAAGAAATAAGATCCACAATTTTGTATTTCCAATAGATTTGGACTAAAGTATGTTTAAAAAAGGTATTAGTGTTTTGCTAGTATTTTTTTTTTTTTGTATATTTACTCATGTTTATAGCACAACTAAATAAACAACGATCTTGAATAATTTTGTTAGCATTATTTTTTTGTATTTTATTTGATTTCTAGGTTTAATAACTATTTTTATTAAGAGGAGGGTTCAAACAACATTGATGTAATTTTTATTAAGTATTACACTGTTTAACAATTTTATATTAAATATGAATTTTGTAAATTCAATTGCTTGATTGAAAGTTTATATCACTTTATATGTTTATCTTAAATTTTGTTAAAATTGAACAACTTGAAGGTAATCAAAGTGTTTATATTTTATTATATTTTAAAATATATATATTACGTCAGTTTTGTTTTATAAGAATGAAGTATCAAATCATCTTGGATTAATATAATTTTTTTTATATATGATCTAAGAGTAAAGAAATTTTATTCTAATAGTTGGATTTATAAAATTCACATTTAATATAAAATTATTGAGTGTTGTAATATTTAATAAAAATTATATCGAAATATCGTTTAAATCTCTCTTTAATTAATTATATTATATTAGTTTGAATTTAATCAGAATTAGATTTTGACTTGTAAGGTAAAAACTCATTAAGCGATTAATTTGGAATTATTTCTTTGTTGTAATGAATATATATATATATATATATATATAATAAATTTAAAAGTATGTTTATTATTATTAATTTTAATTAAATATTTCTATTATCAATTACTAAAGAATAAAATTGTGTAAAAAAATTATATTCAACTGGTTTTATGAATTATATGTTCCTATTATCAATTAAAATTTAGTTAAGTTTGTTGGAAAATAACTGTTTTTCTAGGTGAGTAATTTATAAATTCATTTGATGGTTGTCAAATTTATAAAATACAGTTAACTAATTTTGAAAGATTAAAATTTTAAAAAAATTAATGTACCTCAGAATTTATACAAGTCTTCGAACCAAAAAGAATTTTATAGTTTTCTCTAATTGCATATTAACTCCTTGTTACTAAGCATTTGAATGCCCTTTTGCATCAATTTATTTGCATAAAAATTCATATAAAGTGAGTAAAGTAATCATTTCACATTATATATATATATATATA